TTAGCGTTTGAGGGTTTAAGGTGGTGTAGCGTTTGAGGGTTTAAGGTGGTGTAGCGTTTGAGGGTTTAAGGTGGTGTAGCGTTTGAGGGTTTAAGGTGGTGTAGCGTTTGAGGGTTTAAGGTGGTGTAGCGTTTGAGGGTTTAAGGTGGTGTAGCGTTTGAGGTGGTGTTGTGGTGTTTGTTGGTTTAGCGTTTGAGGGTTTAAGGTGGTGTTAGCGTTTGAGGGTTTAAGGTGGTGTTTAGTGGTTTAGCGTTTGAGGGTTTAAGGTGGTGTTTGTTGGTTTAGTGTTTGAGGGATTTACCGCTGATTACAGAACCGGCTTTACTGACAAAATGCGCATTAAATATCGCATGCGATTTATCGTGCAGCCCTAGTACATATTTAATTCTAAAGGGCTTTTGAAAACCTTCTAGAGTTATTCAGCCAAGAATAACAACTAAGTTAGCTAAACAAATTTTAAAAAAGCCCAGAACTGCTTTTCTGACCATTTGTACATTCTCTAACACACATATTTTAGATTCACAATTAATTTAAAAGCCTCGGGGGTGTAAAAATAGTAAATATTAGAGCCCGACCGATATGGGTTTTTTGGGGGTCCTGATGCCGATACCGATATTGGGGAGTAAAGAAAGACCGATATCGATATATCGGCCGATATTCTTTGTGTAGGCTATATTATAGTACAGTATTGTCAAAAGTTTGGACACACTTCCCATTCGTTTCCCACACTTCCCATCAAAAAATCGCATTTGATTTTTTGCTCAGCCCTATTTTCTGGTAATCAAATGAACATGCAGAACATGAGGATTCGCATTTAAATAAGTCTTTTTGCAGTTTAATATTCACAGACACAGTCTATATATATATATATATATATATATGTACTGACCTGTTTTTTATTTATTCATCAAAATAAGACATTCCATGAAAGTCTGCGTTATACAGTAAATTCCGTTTTTATGACTGGATTCTACGATTCGTCCTATGTTTTCTGCATCACGGAAATCGTAGAGCCCTACTAATGTAGCAAACGAATATGATAAACTCATTGTGAGAGTAAAAGACAGGGACATGTTGTTTATTTACTTAGCGTTGAGTCTCTCCAAGTAGGTGACAACGTAGCGTTAAATCATTGTTCGACAAACATTGTGCCACCACCGCACTGCCGTCTATTGGGCTGCAGAAACATACTAACTTTTCAATCTGCTACATTACTGACTGTACTGACAAACTATGCTGACAACGTGTCTGCGCCGCAACAGGACGCGCGACAAAGCGACCGGTGCCAATCATTTGAACTTTGTGTCATCAGTTTACTGCATCCAGTGACAACATCACTGATTATAATGGGTTCTATTCTACACCGGATGCAAGCGGTGTGATGTGATAAGCATGAGTTCGTGGCCGGTATAAACACCAGCATTGACTGAGTGGCCGCGATCAGCTCCGGTGGCCGTAACAAAGGCTTTAATGCGCCGCAGATGCGTGCTGGGATGCGCAGATCAGCTCTAGTCTCTTAACGTCACTGAATCTGCTGTTAAACATGAACCATCCATTCATCATATCATCATGCAAAACTAAGAATTAGAATCATTGTTATGTGACGATCAAATATAGGTGTGGGCGGATAATTTGAAGCAGCGGACTCGGGTGAAGTTTGAGCTCATCCGCGCAT